GCTGTCCACTTGATTGGCACCCTATCCACCACCGTTAACATTCAGTCCCAATTCCACCTGTAAGATTAACTGTAGCAACTCATCAAGATTCCTTCAATAACATCTTCCAAATCTGTACTTCTATCACCTAGAAGGACATTAGATGCATATGAACACCATGTGCAAGCTCCCCACTAAGCCACACACTGTCCTAATTTGCCATTCCTTCATTACCACCAGATCAAAATCATGAAGTAACCACAGAGTACATCCACCTGATGAATTACCATGGTTCAAGAAGATGTCTCACCACCAGCTTTTCAAAGGTTATTAGGGATGGGCAACAAAATACTGCCTTGCCAGTCAGAACCATATTCCATGAAAATGCAGTGCTGATGGGCAAGAAGCAACACATTCAGAACAAAAGCCCTATGTTATATAGAAATAGAAATGTGCTTTATCACCACTATTCAGTGCATAACACACCCATTCTTTAAAACTAAACTGAATTTCGGGTGCACAACTGAATGAGACAATGTAATAGTGGGAAAGCACTTCTCCTATTAACACTTGTAAAATTCAAGGTTTGGAGCATAATTTGCTGCTCAAAACTTTTAAATGACACTAGCTTGTTCCAAGAGCTGGTAAATATTGTGATTGGCAATAAGACTTATCAAATAGACAGCAAGGAAACAGTGCTATCATAAAAACCATGAGTAGGCAATTGAGGCCTTCAAGACTACTCTGCCATTTGATATAATCGTGGCTGATCTCATCTTGGCCTCAACTCAACCATCTTGCATGCTTTCCATAACTCTTCAATCCATTACTAGTTAACAACCTGTCTGTCTAGTTCCTCCTTAAATTTACTCAATGTCCCAGCCTTCCCCACGCTCTGAGGAATTCCACAGATTAATGGCCCTTTGAGAAGAGTAATTTCTCTTCATTATTTTAAATCTGCTACCACTTATCCTAAAACTATTACCTCTCATTCTAGATTGTCCCACATGAGGAAACATCTTTTCTATATCTCCTTTATCAATCCCTTATAGCATTTTACGTACCTCAGTTAGTTCCACTCTCATTCTTTGAAACTCTAGAAAACTTAGGCCTAAACTGCTCAATCTCTCTTCATAAGACAAACTGCTCATTTCATCAATCTAATGAACCTCCTCTGAACTGCCTCCAACGCAGCTACATTCCTCAAGTAAGGGGACTAAAAGTGTACACAATACTCCAGGTGTGCTGTTGATAATGCTTTGTACAGTTACAGCAACAATTACTTATTTTTTAACTCTACTCCTTTAGCATTAAATGCCAAAATTCCATTTGCCATCCTTATTAGCTGCTGCACCCAAATACTAACTTGCTGTGATTCATACATGAGAACATCCAGAAGCCTGTGCTTTGAAGCCTTCTGAAGTTTCTTTCCATTTAGATCATAAGTTGCCTTTCTATTCCTCCAACCTAAATGGATAACCTCACACTTATCCACATTAAACTTCATCTGACAAATTTTGGCCCATTCACCTACCCTATCCATATCCTTTTGTAAATTCCTTATTTCTTCATTGCAAATTACTTTCCCACCTGCATTAGCATTATCTGTAAATGTGGCTGCAATACTTTGTTTTGCAGCATCCAAGTCATTAATATAGATTGTAAAGAGGATCGAACCCTGTGGCACCCCACTAGTTATGTTTTGCTAACTGGAAAAACACCCATTTATCCCAACTCATTGCTTTCTGTTAGTTAGCCAATCCTCTACCCAAGCTAATAATTTACTGTTAACCCAATGTGATCTTACTTTATGTATAAACTTTTGTGTTGCACCTTATCAAATGCCTTCTGGAAGTCCGGAGAAAACACATCTACTAAATTTTCGTTATTCACTTTGTGATTAGTCAAACATGATTTACTGTACAAAACATTGTGTTGATTCTGATGGTCACATTTTGGCTTTCCAAATGTCCTGTTTTACTTTCCCAATAATGGATTCCAACAATTTTCCAAAAACTATGTTAAACCAACTGGTCTGTAGCTTTCTACTTTCTTGCTCCCTCCCTTTTTGAATAAAGGTGTTACATTAGCATTTTCCCAATCCATTGCATCCTTTCCTGTATGCAGGCAATTTTGGAATATCATAACCACTAGATCTGCTGTCACTTCTCTTAGGCCCTAGGAATGTAAACCATCAGGCTGCAGAAACTTGTCTGCCTTCAATCCCAATAGTTTGCTCAGTACTGTATTCCTAGTGTTGGGGAGTTTTCTAAGTTCCATTCCTTAGATCATAGAATCCCTACAGGCCCTTCAAATCCACACCAACCCTCACAGCATCCCACCCAGACCCATCTCCCTATAACCCACTTAATCTACACATTCGTGAACACTATGGGCAAATTAGGCATGGCCAATCCACCTAGCCTCCACATCTTTGGACTATGAGAGGAAACCAGAACACCCAGAGGAAACCCATGCAGACACTCGGAGAACGTGCAAACTTCACACTGACAGTCACCCGAAGGTGGAATCAAACCCTGGTTCCTGGCGCTGTGAGGCAGCAGTGCTAACCACTCAGCCACTGTGCCACCTTCTTTTCTATAATTTCTGCACTATCTGTTGGTGTCCTCAACTGTGGAAACTGAAGCAAAATATTGATTTAGTGACTCCACTGTTTGTGTTCTTCAATATTAATTCCTACTCTCATCCTCCAATGGACCAACGTTCATTTAGTTACTCTCTTTGATTTTATATATTTATAGAAGCTTTAAATATCCATTTTTATAGTTTGCACTAGTTTTCTTTCATAATTTACCTCTGCTGTTTGTATGATTTTATTTTAGTAATCCATTGTTAATCTTTAAAAGTTTCCCAATCTTCCAGATTGCCACTCGCTTTTGCAATATGGTATGTCTTAGTTCTTGTTTTTACATTATCTTTAACTTGCTTGATGGGCATTGATATTTTTCCCCTCTTACATTCTTTCTTACTTTGTGGAATATATTTTAGTTGGGGTCAATTGAGTATCTCCTTAAATATCTGCCACTACTCATCAACTGTCCTACCTTTTAGTCTTCTTGCTCAGTCCATTAGGGCCAAATCATGCCTACGCAATTACCTTTGTTACTTAGTGTGGGAGTCCAGTTTCTTGTCCACCAACAGAATTTGAATTTCGAGCATGCTATGATCACTCTACCATACAAAATCCTTTACGATGAGACTGTAGAATTTACTGTTTCAGAATATTGGTTACATTCCTGCTGCTTCTCTAATCATAGTCTGTTGAGTATTAAGGCACTGTTTAAGACGACTGTTTGGATCTGATAGGAATTGAGATTATTTCACAAACCTGTGGCTTCAAGTCTCATCTTTCACAAGGTGGCTGGCAAGTCATCAGTGCCATGGAACACTGAAACCTGTAAGTAGGTATCACATGGGAAAGTCTGCCAGAGAAGGTACTCATTTTTTAATCTTCCTTTACTAGGCATATTTTACAGTAATTTGACAGAAATGAAATATTGTTGGGGGATAATAATTAATAATAGTGAGCATACAGAAAACCCCAGCAAGTTACTCAGGAAGTTGTCTTACTATTATCAAAAACAGTTTTAAAAGGTCATTCATTTACAGATGTTAAAAATCAAACATGTATCCAAAAATCATACTCTATCCAAACTGAATAAATATTGGTACAAGCCAATAATTTGATTTGTCTGTGAAATTCAGAAAGATAATTTTAAAATTCCACACCCATCGTTCATTTATTGAACAAAATATTCATTCCATCACCCTCAATTTCCATGTTTATTTGTTGAAGTGTGTTTGTCATTTTACAAAACAGAACCAGAGGTGATTAAATACTTAAAGTACCATTAACTTTTTGGTTAGGTGACACAAACACTTTTTTACTGAAATATTTAAGCTAATGCACTAATTATTTTTGGGGTCTATAATGTCAAATATTTATTTTGTGAAACATGTATGTATTCCCAGTCCAGGTTCAAACCCCACCTGCTCCAGATTTGTGTAATAACAAGTTTGAATAGTTGATTGGAAATATCCAAATTACGGTTACTTTCCAAAAATGTATTTACCATTAAAATGGAAAATGGTTTGTTACACAAGACATTCACATTTAGTCTTCAGAGAATTAAGAAATTAATTAATCAATAGGTTGTGCTACAATATTTGTATCTCAACGACGGTCTTACTGATGCAGCTATAGTGTCGAATCCAATCAGAATAAGGAAAACCTGTGGTCTTGAGCTACATACTGTCAGCTATGCGATCAAAGGTTCTCGGTGCTCCTTCTCGAGAAAGTGGGTTACTTAGTGAATTCTGTTATCCCGAACCATCTTATTGCACTAATTTCTATTTATTCGCACAACGCAACGTTAATAAAAGCTACTTGGGTACATATTTTGCCTTTTTAAACGTCTTTTTAAAATACTTGTTCTAAGGCAATGGTGGAAATCAATGGGCGTAGGTCTTAGTTACAGCACTTCATTCAGACAATAACTGGGGGGAAAAAGAGAAAGCGGAATGAATGTTATATAAAACAAATGTTTTTATATTTTCACCGGAGTATCAGATTTCCCGCATTAAAAATTGAGTTAGTGCGATGCCTAGAATGAAACTGCAATAAAAAAGGAATCAATTATCCTATCACCAGCTGTCATCAAGTATTACATTAAAATTGTTAGTTATTCTACAAAATACTGTCAGCGCAAGGAATGCCTGGATTCCAAGCTGGATTATTTGTGTTTTTCAACCAAGCTCGGTTCAGATCCAGATTTCTGACAAAGGCTTGAAAGATCCGACATGAATACGCTGTGAAATTTACAACAAACGCTTTGAATATCTGACTGAACATAACACCCAGTCAAACTTCCATCAGTTGGCAGCGAACGCGTAAAACATTATTCATAAAACTAATTTTCAAGTGAAAAAGGTTGAACAAAGGTAATTACATCCGATTTTGAATGCTATGGTAAAACAAGGAATGATATGGATGCACCTACACTGGCTTACCGGCATCATGTTGCTGGACGTGCACTTTCCTCGATATAGAATGAGAACCTGCTCAGCTCGTTTGTTCGTCCTTTTTTCACACTAAGAACAAACAGAGCCTCTGAACTTGTAACAAACAGGATCGGTCCGACCCGGCCAGCTTACCTCATTGGCTGACACTCTCCATGGCAATAGCCGGCATCCGCACCCAGCTGGGGCCCCGATTTAATGAGGGCATGTTTGTGCTCTCTATCGCTTGCTTCTAGCCGTTGAGACTCACACAGGCGAAGGGGGTGATCACGTTCACCTATTCATTCCCGGGCGGGGGAAGTGGGATCAAATTAAGTTACACCACCCCGTACTTGTCAATCCAAGATGAGTTTGCAACCTTTAACTATAGCTGCAACCTTGATGGAAGTGTATAGGTTCTGAATGTCACACTGATGAAGGTCTACCTCTGCAGGATTGAAGGTCTGATTCATAACAGGTGCTATCTCCGGCTGGAGGCATTTTTGGACGTTTGATCATGCAACATGTACTCATATTTTTCATTTACTAAAGCAGTGCTTCCCAAACTCTTGTCCAACGTCACCCAATTTTAACACTTGAAAATTAACGTGAGTCCAACACCAAAGACCAAAATATCAATGCAATGACATACTAACAGGCCAGTATACAATTAAATTTACGCATTGTAGACTAACACACAACACATCATACAGAAATTTTTGTCCTTTGTGAAAATGCTATTAATTTATGTACTTACCAGTCACTTACTTAATTTGAATTGCAGAATCATTCTATACAATAGAGTATATTCTGGCCATGGATTCTAT